TCAATTGCTTTGTGCAGCAGGAATGTGTCGCTTATACACATATACTGAGCTGTAGACAATAGTTTGATAATTTTCCTATTAATTTTTTAAGACCAAATTACATTTAGGTATCCAAATCTATTCAGCACTGCCTTTTTAACTTGCCCCAAAGCTATTCCTGAAAGGAGCCGTGACCTCACATCCTCACCTTCTTATCCTTGCAGGCACTTATGGTGGAGGAAACCACTTTGTGTCTGATTGAAACTGAAGAATGCTTCCAATGCAGAGATTGGCAGCTATGAAGCCCAAGCACAGAAAGAGAGCCAAGAGACAGTGGAACAGGAGTGTTGTGGCCTATCTCAGTAAGTCTACCGCCATGATGAAGATGCCTCTTAGTATGAGATGCATGCCACCTCTTCAGAAGAAGAATGGGCCATCTCTCCAGAAGCAAAAACTGAGTAAGCCTTTTGAGGCCCTGGAGAATATTGTTGGCCGCAGAATTTCTCATGGCTGGAAGGAAGCCAATGAACCAGTCACCCAGTGGAAAGACATCATTCTAGATCAACTGCCAACATATCCCTCTGTCTATTTGTAGAAATATGATGGGATTGATTGTGTCTATGGCTTGGAGCTTCACAGCAATGAAAGGATTTTAAACCTTAAGATCCTGCCTAATCATGTGCCATTTCCTTTGGTGACAGACACTCATCTGTCAAACACCATAGTTGGCAGAGCAGTGAATCATATCATCGCTGGAAAAAATCTCTGTAAGGATGACTGGAAGGAGATGGTTCTAGAGGAGGTGCCAATCATGAAGACCTGGTTCTATATTACCTACAAGAAAGATCCGGTCTTGTACATTTACAACCTCCACATCATGCCAGGCTCTAAGGAGGAGTGGAGTGGCGTGGTCCCAGATGAGGTGCAGACCATGACGACCTGTTTCTACACTGTCAACGAGATCCAGTCCTGTACATTTACCACCATCTTGATGACTCCATTGAAGGCAACCTCCACATCATGCCTGAATGTCCTCCAGTAGAGTTGACTTGGGAATAAAGCATGGATTCCTTGGCAGGCGAAAGTGTGCAGTACAACAAAAAAGATGGAACCCAAGAGATAGGTTAAATTATTTGCCAAGTTCCCACCAAACCTTCTGTGTATTTCATCAAGTTTGATAATGACTTTCATTTCTATGTCTATGATTTGGTGAAGATCTGTTAAAGTGAAATTCTCCAATTTTGAGGGGCAGACTTAATACTGTGTTTGGGGAATGTGTTTTTTTCAGAGATACCTCAGGTCTTCTATTAATCCTGGTATCTTTTCCAATGAAATATTCTTGCTCGAAAAACAAAAATTTGTGAACATATTGTGTTCTTTGGTCAATGATGGATTGTGTTTGGTGGATGGGATATCACAGAAATACATGCCTCCAAACAAAGCAGGATTTATGGTCTTTTCATCTTGGAGAGGATGGACTGGGGATGCTTGGTGTGGTAAAGGACAAGATGGCTGTCCAGGGAGGAGTGGAGAGGGGACAAAAAATTGGAGGATCTCGGGGCAGGATAAAGCTTGAGGGAAAAACATGTAAAATGGAAAGATGTGACAGATATCAGAGTGAGGTATTGGGACTTAAGAGGATAAAGAGTAGATTAATCAGGAAGGGACACAAATGTATACGCAAATTCAGAGAAAATTAGGTTTCATTTGATGAATGGTTTAATTCGTACTGGCTGTAAGTCACTGGATTTTGATCTCCACTGGAGCATGTTGAGTGACCAAGAGCCTCCTGCTTAGAGAAAAGTGTCTACTCCCAGTTGCTCTTAGGCAGTGGGACGGATGTCAAGCTACCTACTTCCTTTTGCCAGAATTCTGTCTGCCACCTACTTTGTCATGCCTGGATTCGGTATGCCTTGAACTCTCATAGGTCTTATGCATGCCATCCAACCCTTATGAGTTCATTTAAATCATTGCCCTGCCATATCTGGAAAATGGTGTTCCCTTTCATTAATCATGTTCTGTAGGACTTGGGCTATAAAACTCATCAACAGACTCACCCACAAACAGAATAAACATGTACACATTGATGCCCACTGTGTGACATGCACACATATGATGAATGCACCGAGCTCCATCAAATCAGTAAACTAGGGAGTCCATGATGCTAGGTGGAGTGTGGCAAAGACCCCATAAACCCATCAGACCCCCAAATACCAGTATGATATTGATGTCTGACGCCCATCATGTAAGGATCCTGACATCCTGTAACGGGGTGATTTTTGGTTCCTTCATCTTCACAAACTTGGTTAAAATGTTAGAGTTGTCAAACTGCCAGTTAGGGTCCAGCATGTAGATCAGCTGTCCCAGGTCAGGTGATTTGGCTACAATTTGGGTGAGAACTTGTACCAGGGCATTATGGTACACCCTCACCTCTTCTTCTCCCAGTCCTCATCATCACTCTTGTGGGAGGGCTTGGAGCACAAAGAAGGCAAAATGGAATAAGCCTCCTCCTCAGTGGGAAACATTGTCAATCCTTCATTTGGCCTGACTCTCAGAGGGAATGCACCATATTTTATCCTTCTAGGTCTCCTCCTTCTTTGGTTCAATTTGGTCTAGCCTTTGGTAGAATTGCCATTTTTACTATGTTGATCCTCCCAATCCAAGAGCAAGGGAGGTCCATCCATTTTTTGGTATCCTCTTCAATTTCTTTCTTCAATGCCTTAAAGTTCTTGTCAAGTAGATCTTTCACTTCCTTGGTTAGATTTACCCCAAGATATTTTATGCTGTTTGTGGCTATCTTGAAAGGTGAAGCTTCTCTGATTTCCCTCTCTGCTTCCATATCCTTTGTGTATAAGAGGGCGACTGATTTTTTGGAGTTGATCTTTGTGGAGTATCCTGCCACATTACTAAAGCTGTTTATCAGCTGTATAAGTTCTTTGGTGGAGTTTTGGGGGTCGCTTATGTACACTATCATATCATCTGCAAATAACGAAAGTTTAACTTCTTCCTTTCCAATTCGAATCCCCTTGATCCCATTATGTTGTCTTATTGCTATTGCTAGAACTTCAAGCACTATATTGAAGAGGTATGGCGAGAGTGGACAGCCTTGCCGTGTTCCTGAGTTAAGTGCCATTTCCTCAGGTGACAGACACTCATCTGTCAAACACCATAGTTGGCAGAGCAGTGAAACATACATTCACGGGCACAAATGGCTCTAAGGAAGACTGGAATGGGATGGTCCTAGAGGAGGTGCCAATCATGAAGACCTGGTTCTATATTACCTACAAGAAAGATCCGGTCTTGTACATTTACCACCTCCTGGATGTCTACCTTGAAGGCAACCTCCACATCATGCCAGGCTCTAAGGAGGAGTGGAGTGGCGTGGTCCCAGATGAGGTGCAGACCATGATGACCTGTTTCTACATTGTCAATGAGAATGATCCAGTCCTGTATCTTTACCACCATCTTGATGACTCCATTGAGGGCAACCTCCACATCATGCCTGAATGTCCTCCAGTAGAGTTGACTTGGGAATAAAGCATGGATTCCTTGGCAGGCGAAAGTGTGCAGTACAACAAAAAAGATGGAACCCAAGAGATAGGTTAAATTATTTGCCAAGTTCCCACCAAACCTTCTGTGTATTTCATCAAGTTTGATAATGACTTCCATATCTATGTCTATGATTTGGTGAAGATCTGTTCAAGTGAAATTCTCAAATTTTGAGGGGCAGACTTGAAACTGTGTTTGGGGAATGTGTTTTTTTCAGAGATACCTCAGGTCTTCTATTAATCCTGGTATATTTTTACAATGGAATATTCTTGCTCGAAAAATAAAAATTTGTGAACATGTTCTGTTCTTTGGTCAATGATGGATTGTGTTTGGTGGATGGGACATCACAGAAATACATGCCTCCAAACAAAGCAGGATTTATGATCTTTTCCCCTTGGAGAGGATGGACTGTGGATGCTTGGTATGGTAAAGGACAAGATGGCTGTCTAGGAAGTAGTGGAGAGGGGACAAAAAGTTGGAGGATCTTGGGGCGGGATAAAGCTTGAGGGAAAAACATGTCAAATGGAAAGATGTGACAGATATCAGAGTGAGGTATTGGGACTTAAGAGGATAAAGAGTAGATTAATCAGGAAGGGACACAAATGTATACTCAAAATCAGAGAAAATTAGGTTTCATTTGATGAATGGTTTAATTCGTACTGGCTGTAAATCACTGGATGTTTGATCTCCACTGGAGCATGTTGAGTGACCAGGAGACTCCTGCTTAGTGAAAAGTGTCTCCTCCCAGTTGCTCTTCTGCAGTGGGATGGACGTCAAGCTACCTACTTCCTTTTGCCAGAATTCTCTCTGCCACCTACTTTGTCATGCCTGGATTTGTTATGCCTTGACTCTCATAGGTCTTTTGCATGCCACAGCCTTTGATTTCTGAAATAAGTGCTGTCACCTTAAGGTCTCATAACAACACAGGAAGGTTTGTAAGACTATCCCAGCAACAATTTAAAGCAATTCTAGGACACCAAAGATGCAGCAAGTTATGTTTATTGGTCATAAACATGGTTCTGATGGGACAAAAGAATGTAGCATTAAAAAACAGATTGGTGTACTCACGATTATTTCATGTGATTTGGCACACACAGGCTTCTGGTTCTGAAAACTTCAGCTCAGTGGGTTTTGGAGATTGTGGTGACCGTGAACCTAGCTGGAGGCTTTGGGGCCTGAAAGGACAAGCAATGATATTTCAGGACATCCTTATCCTTAGTTTCCACTGTTTACTGATTTCCTTACAGAGAATGAGCAGCCATCTACTCCTGCTGCCATGCTACATGAACAGAGAGAACACCCTCCACACCCAGGTTGCTTGTATCACATATGAAGGCATAAGTCACAAACAATGAAGAGACTGGAGCTAGGAAAAAAAAAAAAAAACATTCATGTGAGTTGTTGACTCAGACACCAAAGACTTTTTTTACAGAAAAAAACACATAAAGGGATTGAGTTACTTGGCAAAATATGACTCATGTATTTGGGAAGATGAGTGGGGTTTTTATTTTGGGTCTCCAGGGGGCAGCATTATAGGACCTGTATGCTGGATATTTCTGTGGGTTAGTAGGGAAGAAACCTGCCTATGAGGGGTTTTATGACATAAGTAGAGCCTTGGAGATGTCACAAAGCTGTGGTTGGGGGTGGCAACTCTGTTCCACATGAAGCACTAGTCTTCTGCGACTGAGGCCAGCCTGCACTACATAGCAAGACCTTGTCTCAGAATTAAAGCAAACAAGTTAATGTGCGCGCGCGCACACACACACACCACTCACCACACATACATTCATGAAATGCAGTTATTTTCATTTATCATATTGCTCACTTCAAGAATGTGTACACGCTCAACTCTATGGTTTTATTTCTGCATGTACGTGTGGTGTGCATGCATGCCTTTTCATGTGTGTGGGTACACACATGTGAGCACATGTATATATTGAAGCCCACGTGACACTGAGGGTCTCTCTTCATTGCTCTCCACTTTAGTCATCCAGAGTTCTAGGACACATGTCAGTATTATCACTAGCTTGCGAGATATGGTCTCTGCCTCACTTCCATGAGTTCTGGTAACCTCCACTCCAATCGTCACAGTGTACTACAATCACTAATCCATGATGACAGCTCCCCAGCTCTATTATTTTAACACAGTTTTATATTTCATAAAAGATAACATTCTTTTTTCAATAACTTTTTATTAGCACTTTTATAAGATATCTAATTTTATCCAAACTTATATCACAAATTGAAAATTAAAAGTTTCAAGTTCTTACCTTCTTACAAATGTCCAATAAAGACTTATAAAACTTTTTATCAACAGTTCGAAAAATTTGAAAATGCAGTACAAAGAGCCCACAAACTCCAACATACTTGTCTCTCTGGTCAATTTCAGAAGGCTCACCTTATAAAGGGACACCAGACAAACAGAACCAACCATAGATAAAGTGGGCTTTTAAGGACATGTAAACTTGATAAACACTCAAACGCAAAATTTACATTACCAAGTTTGGCTTCCACGTTTGCAAAAATTGAGCGAATGCTATGTGCAAATTCTTCCGCAAAAGTGCTGTTTTTCGACACAGATATTCCTCCATTGAGGGAGTCAAACTGCTGTTCAATACAGGCCTAGACAGGAAACATTTGGAGAGAAATTCAGTCTCTAGAGAACAAATGAGCAAACACCTAGGTAAGATGAAACACTCGGTACTCATTTTAACTACACTGGGTCTCATGCTCTTTAATATTTAAATCCTTTGACAAGGTATGTGTATGTAATGACAGTGAGCGCCATCACACAGCACTTAAACCCCAACTGAGGAGATCCGAGTGAAGCAGAAATGAACGGAAGGGATCACTGCTGATGTACTGCAAAGTGGTGGGGTTTCTGTTTATTTGAGAAAGTGTCTATGTAACCCTGGCTGTCCTAGAACCCATTATGTAGGCCAGGCTGGCCTCGAACTCAAGGATCTGTCTGCGTCTGCCTCCCAAACGGTGGGATTAACAGTGTGTTCCACCACACCCAGCAGAAAGCATTTTTAAAAATTTGCAGGTATAAGTGTTATGCTTACACATATGTCTCTGCACTACATGCATGAACTGCCTATGGAGGCCAGAAGAGGGTATCAGATACCCTGCAACTAGAGTTACTGATGGCTGTGAGCCACCACATGGGAGCTGGGAATCAAGCCCACGTCCTCTTCAAGGCAGTACTGCTGAGTCACCTCTCCAGCTGCTACATCGTTTTGTGAAGAGCACCTTAAGGAGCTTCTGTTCATTTAGTTATTACAATTCCTTTCTTAGCATTCTCCTCCCCGCCCCCTTTGGGGAGTGTCTCACTCTGTAGCCCAAGTTGTCCTCAGATTATGATAATCCTGCTTGAATTTCCCAAGTACTAGGAGATAATGGGCATGAGCCACAATACCCAGCTCCTAGCATACTCTGTGCAAAAATGTAGCCAGAGTTACAATACCCAGCTCCTAGCATACTCTGTGCAGAAATGTAGCCAGAGTTACAATACCCAGCTCCTAGCATACTCTGCAGAAATGTCCCCAAGAGGGAAAACAAAGCATCTAAGAAACTGATAAACCCACTTTAAAAACCAAGAGCTGGGTCCATCTGTTAAAACTGTAATAATATAGAACTAGACACACAACTCTGAAGCAGACAGAGTAGACACCACCCCTCGGCACTTCAAAGGTCCTTCTGGGAGGAAGACAACATGCTGCTTCTGTACTGTCCACATAGGGAGAACATAGAAGTGATGTTTCTAACTAATGTTAGCTGGTTTCAATTTAGAAGGCATGCATTTGTGCACATGTACTGAGTGTAGAGGAATTAACTAAGCTTTTATTTGGCTTTGCTAAGGGTTTTGATTTGTTCTTTGTAGATCTGGGGATTAAATCCAGGACCCTGAGCATACCAAAGTGAACGCCCCACCACTCAACTGCATCTCCAGCCCTTCAAATTTATTTTAATCTTAAAAAAAAAAAAACAATCTAGAAGCTAGTAACAAACATAATGCAAATAATTAAGTCTTAGGTTTTTGTCTTTGTTTTTGAAATGGGATATCATTATGTATCTCAAGATGACCTAGAATTCACTTTGCACACCAGGCTAGCCTTGAAGTCTTGAACAGTTTCCTGTGTGCTGGAACTATAGAAGTGTATCACCATGCCAGATTCAATTTTATATTTTTGCATAGTTTAAATTTTAAAACCCTCATTATAAGTAACTTTTTATTTTGTTTACTATTAGACACTGAGTTATACTTTAATATACTAATAATTAATTTTTTTTAAGACAAACCACTTTCTAAAGAAAAGAAATGTCAGTAGTCAGGCAGTGGTGGCACACTCCTTTAATCCCAGCACTCAGGAGGCAGAGGCAGGTGGATCTCTGTCAAGGCCAGCCTGGTCTACAGTGTGAGTTCCAGGCAGCCAGGGCTGTTACACAGAGAAACCCTGTCTCAAAAAAAAAAAAAAAAAAAAAAAGAAAAGAAAAGTAAAGAAATTCAAAGTATTCTACAAAAGTGTCCCCCCGTAATTTGGAGCTGCACCAATCTCTACTTACCTGAAATATCATTCCATCAAGTAACTGCCCTTCCAACTTCAGCAAGAACTTTTCAAATGGCTTTAATTTTTCTTCCTGAATCCCAAATTTCGAAGGGTTGTGATGGACAGACTTCAGTAACCTTCTAGATTTAAAGAAAGAGCTTAAATCTATCTAATAAATTCTTAAAAGCTAAAAATATTCCAGGAAATAAAATTTTGTATTTACTATTCCTTCCTCGGCTCTCCACATTGGAAAACATGGATGGAGCAATGTTAATGAAATTCTTACGCTTTTTATTGCCTTTATTCAGCTGCCTATTGCTCTGCACTAACCAAATATTCAATGACAACTTGTAAACTGAATAAAAATTTAAGAGTGTTCCAGCGTATGTAATCAAATAAATGAAAAGCAAGGCAGAAACTTTCACTTGCACAGAACCCCAAGGGGAACCAGTAAGCTTCTGCAGCACTGAGCATGCTCACACACATCTCTCTCACAAAAGCCCATCTAACAGCAGGGCTGACTGCCTTCATGAAACTACTGGACACCACAGGGCTGGAGAAACAGTTCAGTGACTCAAGAGCTGAGCCCTGCAGAGGAAACCTGAGCCCAGTTCCCAGCGCTCCCATCAGGTGGCTCACAACATGGGACTGTGGCTCCAGGGAATCCAGCTCCCTCTTCTGGCCTCCCTAGGCATTGACCCATGTGCGGGAACACATGGAGACAGGCAGACATAAACACATACACACAAAAAAAATAAATATTGGACATGAATTTCTTTCCATTAGAGTTGCTAGGTCTTGTTAAGAATCTGAATAATTTGTAACTGTTTAGTTTTACCAAACTAACACATCAACTGTACAAAGTAAGTATTTTAGGTGGCGTACCTTTTGTACATGGTCCAATGGTCTTTCAGTGTGACATGATTGTCAACAATTTCATCCAGGGTAAGTAAAACTGTTAGCAGTTCTCCCAAGTGCTCATACATAGTCTGTCAAAAAACCTTTAATGATTATCATTTAGTCACTCGTTAGAAGTCTCATGTGAACTTTTAAAGAAAAACACATGTGGGCTCATTATTAAATTGGTGAAAGGAGGGACCAACTGGCTTATTAACTACAGTTCTGAGTTCAAATGGTACTAGCCTAAATACAATATATTTTACCTAATATTTCTTCCTTAATTGTGATGCTGCAGATTTGTTCACTGGCAACAGAAAATCTGCACGGAACACTACCGGGAAAAACTACAAGAGGCAGTGCAGAGTAAGAGATGCCTTGACAACCGCATGGACGGAGGGAACACAAGAACAGGGGTGGAGATGTGTTACACTTCTTAATTATACAAATTCCAAAATAAAGTAGAAAAATTAACTTTTACCTGAAAATGAACTCCAGTTGTCTCTATAATTTTGGGTCCTATCCTATAATAAAACAATACCAAAGTTTAAAAAAAAAAAAACAAAAAACACCTTTATGGTTACAGTTCATTCTAAATTCAAGAAACCAATACAGAAGCAGAAACTCTGACTTGTCTGGGCTACCCCTGCTATGTGGCACTCACAGGTAAAGACCTGACAACTGACCAATGACCTGAGTTTCTTAACCCTAAAGGATGAGCCTTGGCATAGAAGTAGAGGAAGCACACTGATGAATTATGAGTCTCTCAGTTAGCAACTATAATCTGTTCACTCTACCAAAACTGGCACCTGGAGAGTCCTAAGAACAAACCAAACTCCTTCAGTTCTCACTCCTGCTAAGAAGCAATGAACCACACCCTCTAGGGTTACACCACTTACTTCCTTCTGAACTTAATCAATATAGTTCTTACATATCAAACTACATATGAAGTATTCCAGAATACAGGACGCACATCTAAAGTTGAACAAAATCTTTAAATATTATCTTTCTATAGCAGGAACGAGGAAGAGTCCCCAGGATTCCACCTCAGGTAGTGCGGGGGGGAGTGTGGAGATCTGGGACTACCATCCTTTGCACTGAGTGGGGGAGGGGACTGCCACTCCTTTGCTCCTGGTATAAAGATCGCTTTGGTGAAGAGCCAGAATACATAAAGACAGCAAACTGACCAGAAGTCCCCGAGAGTGAGGTGATAAATGTCCTCTACCCCCTCACAGCGTGGTACAGCAGGAACAACAAATGGACTGCTGACCACAAGGAACAGTACCAAAGCTGCTGTGAGATCATGGTAATGCCACCTCTGGGTCTTGGCTCTCATTAAAGTATGAGTCACATCCCTCAACAGCAGTACAATAGATGTAGAAAAAAATACAAAGAACTGACCAAAGGTTAGATGTAATTTATGGTGATAAGAACAGCAAGGGCACTATGGAAATTTGATCAGTTCTTAATTTAGGGTCGATCTGGAAGATCATTAGAATTTTAAGTACTTTTTCAGTGTAGACTGCCTACACTCGCTCCATCCCCAAGACTCTGTAGTTTAAGAAAAGTCATATGACCACTAAATGTACGCAGGAAAAAAAAAATAAAACCCTCTGTGTGAACTAATTCTGTATCAGTTTTTTTCTATCGTGAAATATCTTTAAAATTTTTTGTTCAACATTCTCATGCTGACAGAAATCAAGTTCGTAACTTGGTGAAAACTGCAGCTCATTAGTCTATAAACACACACACACACACACACACACACACACACACACACACACACACACACACGTCCAGCAGTACCTAAATATCCTAAGTGTACATACTGAGTAAATAAATGAATACAAAGCTATTTCAAATAATTACTTTTCTAAGAAGTACTCCCTCTACTTCATGAAAGTCAAACAATGCTAAAGTGCATTACTTGTTGCTGATGTAGAGGGCAGCCAGCTGGTGGATAACATTCACCAGCACTTCATAGCACCTCGTGACAAAACAGGACAGCTCCTGAAAGGACAAGGAGAGTATACATCACAGGGTTGCTTCAGGAACGTCACGACATTTGGGCTGAACGTTCTAACACAACCCCAACAGTTTCGGGTCGAATCCCCAGATACCCAGCAGCCAGACAGAGGAAGCCCTCAAGCAACACTTCCCTCAGCTCCTGCACAGCTGGTCATCCCTGTCTCTGCTGCCCCTGCTTCACTCTCGCAGTCTGAGTCTCTGTTTCAGTTACTCGCAGCTCCGAGATGAAGGGGACAGCCCACCCCTGCCCTGTAAATGAATGACAATGGCTTCCAGAAGTGTGACCAAGACAGAGCAAGGTCCACTAGTCACTAGGTCACTTCATGTGTTACCTTTGGTCACAAATATGTACCTTGGCACACACCAAGTGCAATATCACTTACCCCAAAGATATTAATTCACTCTGCTGGGCCCAGACCTCACCCACTCTAAACTATAAGTCCTGAGCAAGAGTTTTCATTGCTTTTATGTGCTGGTTTCCTCCGTCACCAAGAGTAGCTTGGCAGCGCGCGCACGCGCGCGCGTGCACACATACACACACACAAGCACGCACACACAGCCACTGAACACCTCAGATGAACTCTGGGACAGTAAACAGCTTTTACTGACACATAAACAGAATTTGAAGTCTTTCAAAGTAAAAATAATGTTTTTTTTTTTTTAAAAAAAAAAAACAGCTTTTTGCTACATAGGCCAGACTAGCCTTCAACTCATAATCCCAGCTCAGCCTTCTCAGTGCTTGGAGTCCTAGGATACAGGCATTATCAATGTGCTAAGTAATAGATTTTAATTTCAAACAGCTCATTTTACATGTTATTAAACTTCTGAAGGTTAAATGATAGCAGGAGAATAAAAAATACAAAGCACAGCAAAATAAGTTCGGATTCTGTAAGACAGAAATAGATGGAGTCAATTAAAAGACTGTCAGATGGTATAAAAAAACAAAACAAAACTGGAATCCATCCATTTGCTGTTTTCCCTCCAATACTGAGAAGCACTGCTAGCTCACTTGGATGTTTCAGACACTAGAGCGCTCCCGGACAATCAGTATGCTGGAGCGCAGCTAACAAGGCTCCTGCTGAGTGTGTGAGCACCTATGCACAGGTATCCACACAGAGGCACTGGATCCCGAGTGAAGTTACATGTAGCTGTGAGCCCCGATACTCAACTAGGGTTCTCTGGAAACAGTACATGCTGTTAACCAGTGAACCAAAATGAGCTCTCCAGCACACATTTTTTTTTTAATCTTACTTTTTTTGTTTATGGTCTTGTCTACATGTGTGTCTATGCCAAAAGAGGGTAAAGGGTCCCTCCAAACCAGAGTTATAGACAGCTGTAAGCTACCATGTGAGCAGGTGCTGGGACCTGGGAATCAAACCTCAGAATTGCAGGGAAGAGCAGCTGATGTGGGAGTGATTTCTTTCTATCTGTTGCTTTCATTGGTTAATTAATAAAGAAACTGCCTAGGCCCATTTGATAGGCCAACCCTTAGGTGGGTGGAGTAAACAGAACAGAATGCTGGGAGAAAGAAAGCTGAGTCAGTGAGTCGCCATGATTCTCCCACTCCAGACAGACGCAAGTTAAGATCTTCTCTGGTAAGCCACCTCATGGGCTACACACATTATTAGAAATGGGCTAGTCCAGGTGCGAGAGTTAGCTGAGAAAAGGCTAGATATAATGGGCCAAGCGGTGTTTATTTTTTTTCAGGTTTTTTTTTAATTTTTTTTATTTTTATTTTTTTTATTTTTTAATTTATTTATTTATTAAAGATTTCTGTCTCTTCCCCGTCACTGCCTCCCATTTCCCTCCCCCTCCCCCAATTAAGTCCCCCCCACCCAGCCCGAAAAGCAATCAGGGTTTCCTGTCCTGTGGGAAGTCCAAGGAACCCCCGGATGCTCAACTTACTAGACCAAGCGGTGTTTAAAAGAATACAGTTTCCGTGTAATTATTTCAGGTAAAGCTAGCCAGGTGGTGGGACACAGCCTGCCGCTCATATTTCAACAAGCAGCCAGTGCTCTTCATGGCTGAGCCATCACTCCAGCACCCCCCCCCCCAAAATTTTTAAAGTTAAAAACAATATTATTCACAAATGAAACTATACAAATCAAATTATACAAATTATATAATCTATCAAAACAATTTTAAACAATTGTTCACATCTCTTGATACCTTATTCTCCAAAATTCCCTTAGAAACAGTTCAGGAGTCACAATGGCCTACACTATAACTACACTAACTGCTTTACTCTCTGAGTGCACAAGTCCTCGGCATTGAATGTTTCACAACTTTTCAATCATGTGCAATTTTTATGCAAAATTACAAAGAGAAGACTCAGCAAGACATAATGAGGCACACCTTTAATCTCAGAATGTGAAGTGCCTGAGGCAGTGACCCTCTTATAAGTCTGAGGCCAGCGTAGTCTAGACAGTAAGCTCCAGAAGAGTCAAGGCTACCTAGTAAGACCCTATCTTGAATAAATAAATAAATGGCTCAAGAGAAAGTAAAAAAAAATCAGCTACCTTAAAAAAAATAGTTACCTGTAAGAATGAAACGAATCTCCCCATTTGAATTTGGCAGTCACCTTCCACCATACTGGAATCTGTAGCTTTAAAAAGCAGCATGAATTTTATTTCTATTTTTATTTAAATCCAGCAACAAAGACAAACAATTCTTTCACTAGTGCCCAGTACCGAAACACTGGACTTTTAACACTGAAGAGAAAAATGGCAAAGTCATAAACTATATACAACATCCAGCAGCCACGCCTGACTGCCACGCGAACCCCCACACTGGTCCCATCACAGGACCGTGCTGACACAACACATGCCGGCTCTAGAGGGTCTGCTGCCATACTCCACTTCTCACTTGTTAACCCATCCATGCACCAACGAGACAACTCAATGTCAGGGCTGGAGGGCGGCTCAGCAGCTCAAAACACTTGCTGCTCCTCCAGAGGACCACAGTTTACATTTCCAGCACCCACAAAGAGAGGCCCCTATGGGCACCCACATACACAAAATATATCTTTAAAAATTTCTGAATGTTTGTTTTTTCTAATCTGTTAGCTTTTGGCTCACTTCAGTTTCATAAAAGGCAGCAACAAATGCAATTCTAAAATTTGAACTTACCTCCTTCACCATAAAACAAAAGGCCATTGTAAAACTTAGTTTCCGCCTGTTTAAAAGAAAATCAAAATAATTTAAAAGGTTGCTTTCAAATCCTAAACTTTCTTAACTCTCTAATGACATATGACATGGCTTACACATAAATCTCAGAATCTGCTCTCAGATGATCAACTTCTCTTTACAGGGACGAAGATAACCACTGACACCCAAGCTGAGCTTGGTCCTCTAGCCTGTACTCCATCATCTGCCCACCCTCAAGACCACTCATCTCCCCACCGGTTCAGTTGCACTCACAGAACATAAAGAAAGGGAGGGAAAATAACAGAAGTTCACCAATGTCTACAATGGCTCCAAATCCAAATCCATATAAAAAGTTTAAACTTAAAAGGAAAAACAACAACAAAAAGCTGGAAGTGGTGGCGCACACTCAGGAAGCAGAGGCAGGGGGGATCTCAGTGAGTTCCAGGCCAAGGTCTACAGAGCGAGTTCCAGGACAGCCAGGGATGTTACACAGAGAAACCCTGTCTTGGGGAGTGGAAGGTAGGGAGGGGGTGTACCTCTGGACAGCCAGCACACACACCACATATACTACTCTGGAGGCAGGCAGGCCTAGATTCACACTGCTACTTTTAGCAATACCCACTGTAAGCCCCAATTTCTCACCTGTTCCTCACCTGCTGAGTCCTCACCCTACACATAACACAGTAACCACTCAATGAGTGCCAGATTATTCTAAGTCCTTCAGGACTGCTATTATTGTAAGTGGGTCAGTATTTATTGCACACTGCTTTTAATTGATCTTAAAGAAGAGAAACAATTACCTCATACTTTAATTTCTTGATTTCACAACAAAGTGCAGCATACACAGTGATGACTTTGTTTAGGACCTGGTTTCAAAAATAAAGACAGAAAAAGTGAGTGGTAAGCACCAAGAGCGTTCTCTGAATGCTCTTTAGGTTAGGACAATTACCTTGTTCTCAGTCTTTATGAGCTCCAAGAGGGAGGACTGCTCATAGGGCAGAAGCTACGGAAACAAAGGGAAAGAACATCTTTTAATTTGAAGGGAAGAAAAAAAACACTGAAATTTTAAATATATAAAATGAGATTAAATGGATTACAGTTAAACTTGTGTTAGACCCTATAGTCAGTCAGCATTAGCATCAACTCAACTACTATGTTTAAGATAATTTTAACAAAGGACGAAAGGTACAATCACTCGAGAAACAGCCTGCACACAACACGAGGCACCCAAACAGCTCCAGCTGTGCCCAACAGAAAGTGGCTGAAAGTGGGAGGACACTAAGAAAAGACTAACAGTGAGCTCTGTCCTTTCAGAAACTGTTATGCAAGCATACACTTAGTAAGATGTCGTAACTAAACGGGCCAAATTTAAGTCATTACATCTGATGCAGCTTCATTTCCTTCTGGCTCTAAAGCTTTCCTGATTAGTAACTAAAACGAGTTTTCTATTAAGTGAAAACTGGACCTTTCTTTGAGTTACATACTAACAATAAAGTACATACGTAAATTAAAAATAACTTCTCTCATTTAGTTTGCAATTTCTATTTATAAGGATCTTATCAGAATCTATAACCCTTGCAGAGCAGGAACATAAAATAATTTCCCAATAAAGGGACTAAAGAAAGGTCCCAGGGTAAGCTGGGAGAAAAAGGGCTGTACTGTACAAGAGGATAAATGTATAAAGAGATTTTAAAGTTTCTGTTGTCCGAAGACTAAAGCTGAGACAATTTCATTGTTTCACAAAGCCATGAGGCTTCATTTCACATCCATTAAGATAGGGTTGATTTTAAAAGACAAACAATAACAAACTTTGGCAACAATGTAGAGAAACTGAAACCCCCATATATTACTGATAGGGACGAAAAACAGTGTGGCCACAGGAAAAAGATGAGAAGGGGGTCAGCAAAATGGCTCAACAGGTAAAGGCACTTGTTACCAAGCCGGGTGATCTAAGTTTGGTGCCCAGAAGACATATGGAAGAAAAGAATTGGCTCCTACAAGTTGTACTCTTTCCACACACACCATGGCACAGCACATGCACACAAACACACACAAATATGTGTACAGTAAAATCCTCAGAAAACTAAGCATAGCTACCAAACGACTCAGTAATTCTGCTTCTAGTATAATGCATGACATGAAAACATGTGTACATAAAACCCCAGGACACATAATTAGCATTAGTTCCAACAGCCAAAACTGGAAAACCTAAATGTCTATCCCTAAAGAATGGACAGCTCGGGCTGGAGAGATGGCTCAGAGGTTAAGAGCACTGGCTGCTCTTTGGAAGGACCCGCGTTCAGTTCCCAGCACTCACATGGCAGCTCACAACTCTCTGTAATTCCAACTGCCAAGGATCCAGCACCCTCACTCAGATACACATGAAGACACAACACAATGCACACAAAATAAGTAATTGTTTTTAAAAAGGCATTCCCACATTAAGATCCCCGATTTCATTCCTTTTGAGAAATGACAGCAATGTTTTCTATCTTCATTCGAATATGTGGTGGATGAGCTCTGTGCTCAGGAAAACTCAGTGAGAAATCCTTAAAAATCTGTATATTTTAAAAAAAATCTGTATATTTGACTATGTGTAAAATAGCTACAATGAAAGAAACAAAGCCAGTGTGTCCATCTAGCTCTTTGTTGAAGATCAAAACAATGACTAGGTGGAATAATTGGACTTTGTGTTATGATACTGTAAGATTGTCATTCTTTCAGAAATATATATATATATATATATATATATATTAATGAAATTAATTCAGACCTTTAATGCTATAGGATCAAGATTGAAATCCCAAACATCTCCAATCAAATCATCCAGTGCGTCCTCAATTCTTCTCAACTGAGATGTATACTCCTCAAGGAATTTCCCATAGTTCTTAAGCTGGACTTCAGCATGAATTTCTAAATTGTAAAACAGAAAGTTACAATTACAACTACTGAATGGCAGAACACTAGCTTCAAATGATCTCAGTAAAGCAGCAAAACACGGTCAATGACTACCTTGGAGTGCCTCACTTCATGGAAATAGGCTCCAAAGTTAAAGAGTCATTCGGCTTTGAATTTTCTCCAAATATGTCAAAGTACTCAAAACCTGCAGTCCTTACCCTAGGATCTGGGGCTACCAACCAGCCCGAGTCATGCCTCAGACAACCCAGGGTCCAGAAGCTATCCTATGTTATTTTGGTCACACACAACTCTGCTGCAAAGCTTATCAGCTACCTGACGGGAAGCAGGTACAAAATTCTGTGTTGTAATAGAGCAAACTGCAAAAAGGTTGGTTAATTTTATACATAGTAAAATGTTTAAGAATACAATCAAATCTATTTTACATGTAGGTTTTAGACCTGCTACACTGTATTATTATTTCTCTAATTCCCAACTTACCAAAATGCTTTACTTGTTCAATTTTTTAGTTATTATAATCAACATGTATAAGCCAGATAAAACATACTGGCTGAGGTAGGGGCTGGAGAGATGGCCTAGCCACTGAGAGCACTGGCTGCTCTTATTACTGGGGTTCAGAGGACTGCGGTTCAGTTCCCAGCACCCATGTGTCGATTCTGTAACTCTAGACCCAGGAGATCCAATATCAGCTTCTGGCCTCTGCAGGTATTGCACACACATAATAAAACATAACAAAAAAACAGCTGGGACCCACAAAATTTATATATTAGTACATGACCTTAAGCTTAGAGCCACTGAAATAAGTTGGATTTTTCAGAAGCCTACTCACCAAAATTAATAAACATTCCATCTTATACCTAAGAATTGATTACTGATTCCAAAAATTCAACTTAAATTCAGTTCTTTAATCAAGGACTTAAAAAAAGGTTTTTTTTTTTCCCTTCAAATTTGAAATGTGGAGCCATTATGAAATAAAGTCCTGACTCACACTGTGAGGAAATAAAGACACCTTTCTTCTATTTTGCTACTGAGGCCCTGAATCAGGGGCATCAATTCAGTTCACTAAGACTGCTGTCTCAATATAGCACTCAGTTAATTTTGGAAAACAATTAGTCTAGATATGAATCAAAGTCCAAAAACTAATGGAAACCAGGCAAAGAGAAATCTCTTACCTACAGCTAACAATCCTGTGTTAATGTCTTACTCTATTGTATGGGAAATGGCCAAAGTATCACTTGACCAGCAAATGGGTTCTTAAAGACCGCACTAGAAAAACACGCTCTTAGATCAGCTGGTGAGACCAAGGTTAGAAACACCTGAAAACCTGCAGAAGCATTTTAAGCTCTTTGCTGATAAGATATCTAACAGCTCTGAGCTCATAAAAGTTAAAGTGCACACCACACTTCCCTCCCAACGAACTGCATTTCTTGGTTTATTTTTCTTATTCCTTTTCAACTTAGGATAGAGCGTTAAGGGCTTTATCACAGCGCATCCACACACACGTGTACACACAGGTGTGCTTACCTTGTGTCCTCACTCAAGCTCTCTCTCCCCTCCTTTCCCCAGTCCTGTTTTCCCCAACCCTCTAGGGTCTAAAACAATGCTCACATGGTATTATGATTAACCAGCTGATCATTCTACTTCAAGCCCTATATACCTTCATTCCAACTTCGGTCAGATGCAAAACAAAAAAGAACACCTGACAAGGTACAGTTCACTTTAAAACCGAAAATACAAAACCCAAAAGTGGTTATTATCCTTTCGCCCAGATCTTTATGCCGCATACAATTAAGAAATGTTTACTGAAATACTGCACGGAACAGGACCCGGATGTAAAGGCAACTAAAACCTCAGTATATATAAATCTGTACATGCTAAATCTCTAAAATAATCCGCAATTCAGCTGTAATTTTTTTTGAAATGGCATTCCTACTTTGGGGAAAGATACACATTTTAAAAATTCTCAAACAACTACCCCAATTTCTCTTCTATGACTCAGAAGATAAGAAACAAATCAATCACAAGAGTTTCTCATATAATTATTAGGTTGGCTTGTACATTTCACTGACACAAACTGCGAGGCTTTTAGGGTTGTACCTCTGATTTTAAAAATAAAACCGGACGACTCGATTTCATTAAGCAACTGCGAAGCAGATCTTGTAAAAATAATTAAAATAAATTAAATTTTAAAAGAAAATTCAGCTGCAATGACAATTATAGAATGTTTTTTTTTTAACCATATAAAATCAATAAAAGGCCTAGGATTGATGAGATGACATTCCCGTGTTGACTGATGTTTTTGTTTTGGCTTTTTTTTTTTTTTTAATGCCAGGAAGAGTTATTTTTCCGCTATCTTCCATGGTTCTAGGAACGCGAACCCAAACTTCAATAAAGTTGATTTGAGAAGTAAAAAAAAAGAAAACAGGAAACCGAAATGGGAACCCAGACTCTTCTAAAACTGAAGGCTCAGAGCATCTGGCGCCAGCCCTGGGATGGGATGGGCATCCCGGGGAGGCTGGCCTGTCGTGGCGGGCCCCCAGGGAGCGAGCGCCGCTGGCCGGTCCCCCGCCTCCGCGAGGGACACCGGGCACCCGAGCGGCTCGACGCGACCCCGGCAGTCACGCAGCGCCGCGTCCCACCCCAGGGGACAGTCCCCAGCGGGCGGCCGCGCCTCCCCGCGCCGTCCGAAGTCCCTCGGCCGCGCCACCCGGCCGGCCTCGCCCGACACCCGGAGACTCACTCTGAGAGCCGTCGTCCACGCGGTCGAACTCCCAGTCCGGCGACAGAGTGTCCACGGCCATCGCCGCGGCGGCGCCTCCCACAGACACAGCACCTAGCTGCCACCGCCGCGACACGGGCCTCACCCCAGCTGCTGTCACGGCACGTGACTTCCGGGACCCGGCCCCGGCCCCGCCCCCGCGCGCCACAGCCAGTGGACGCTCGGCCCTACGGACCGCGGGGGCCTCTGGGAAAGCGAGTCCGTCCGCCTGCGCCCAGCGGGGCCGCTATTAGTGACGATGGCTGTTGGCATCCTGCACCCTTTCCCTGTCCTCGCTGCCGTTTGCATCTGTTCTCAAGCCACATTCAGTTTCTCCTATGCTGCGTCCAGGCTGTTTAAACACCTGAGGGAGCTACTCTATCAGTCTAACGGGGAAAGAGCGGAAATAACGGGGTGGGGACCAACGCAAAGACAGGGTCCTTCACCAGGACACTGCCCTGGCCCTCCGACCAAGATGCTTGCCCCACCAGCTCTTTTCTGACTTTACCCTCGCAGTTCCCACCCCGTGCATGTCCTGCCCCATTTGTTTTTGTTTGTTTTGTTTTTTGACAAAAGACCTCTGTGTATAGAAGAGTAGTGACTTTAAGAAGGCTATCAAACAACCTCACTACTGGATTTGCTTTACACCGATTACTGCTCTTCCTCCCTTGTTTGGAAGACAGTGGGATTGGAATTTGTTACCCAGAGTTCTACATTTACCCTAAAATTTACACAAAAAGCTTCCTATCAGCCCGGTTTTTAAGAAGTGCTAATACGAAACAGTCTAAAGAGCCATCAAAAAGTAAAACTTAATCATTCATACTCTGAATTCCTAGAGAGCTATGTAATGAAATAGGTCTCAAATGGCGTGAAAAATAAAAGGACAGGAGGCAATTTTAGAACATCACATATTTGCCGTTAAATTACAATCTATGTAAACATGCCCATGTGGTTGCAAATACATAGGAGAATTCAAATCTCGTTAAGACAATGGTTTACTTGGGAATGAGTAGATGCTGATATATACAAAGTGGCTCTTATATTTTTCTTGTCTATTAGCTGACTCTTTTGCAAGTATAGTTTTTAAGTTATTTGCATCATAGAGTACCAAAAAATCAATAAAGAATATTCTCTTGAAAAGCATGTTCTGAGATGTTGAGGTTTGGACATGGTTTTGAGACAAGATCCCAATACCATAGCTGAGTGGCCCTGTTGCTACTGGGTCTGCAGCAGGGTGTTAGACCGAAACCTCCGAAGATCTGAGCCAAAAAATGACCATCTTCTTTGTAAGATACCGATCTCAAGAACGTGTTACAGTGACACCTGTCACACCCGAGAGGACTTCCTGCGCCTCTGCCTTCAGGATGTCCCGTTGGAATGTTTGGTGTCTTTCTGTAGCGTGCAGGGTTCTGGCAGCCTTGTTTAGCTTCCCTGTTGGCAGCTTCTGACTCAAATCATCACAAAACTAAATCCAGCCTACGGGAGAAAAAGAGCACGCTTAACGAATAACTCGAACAAAAGTCACGGAATCAAGTCTTGCCAGTAGTGATTGCCTTTCTTGGTACTGGCGCACACCTTCCAGCCTGTCTTGGAAACAGGAAGAACGGGAGGGGTGGACAGATTGGCTGAGTGTAGGTCACGTGCTCTGCGGATGCAGAGAGCAAAGGAAAAAGCAACACTGCAGGAATCGTTTGGCCTGGGAGTGGAAGAGACTAGCCTATATGGAAACCAGTGGGTATTATTAGCACAAGGAGAGGGTGTATATGGCCGGGGGAGAGCTATGATAGTGATTTTACCACTGAGCCACTTGGTCTTAGCAGCCAAGCATCTCACGGTGACTATGGTGTAGGTATTGGAGTTAGCAATTAACTATTACAGCAGGACGGCTTTTTTAAAATACCATTATTTCAGCTGGAGAGATGTCTCAGCAATTAAGAGCACTTGCTGCTCTTCCAGTGGTCCTGACTTCAATTCCCAGCAATCACATGGTGACTCACAACCGTCCTATAATGAGATATGGTGCCATCTTCTGGCCTACCGCCATACATGCAGACAGAACACTGTACACATAATAAATAAAATCTTTGTAAGAAGATTGTTTTTAAAAAAAGACTATTTTGTAATAATTTTATTATTTAGATGCTTACATTTAGAATTTTAGATAAAAGAACTTCTAGGACTTTACTAACGCAGATAACATTTATTTTGTGCTTATTGCTGTTGTTATTGTTAAGCCCAGGGAACTCAGACTAACCTTGAACTCTTTGACGCTGGCCTTGAATTCCAAATCTTCCTGCCTCCACTTGCTAAGTGGTGGGATTACAAGCATGTGACACTATGCCTGACTTTGCAAGGAATTTTTTTTTAAAAAATCAATGATTTTTTTCTAACAAACCCAAACAGAAACAGAAATCTGGAAAAGAGTTGAAGAATGGGCAACCAGGGCTTGTTGATCTATAGAAAGAAAAGGACCTAAAAAAATAAAAAAATAAAGAAAAGGGTCTGGCAGAAATATGTTTGGAGGAAAGTCACGAGTCTAAGAACACATATATCACCAAAGTTTGATAAGGTCTTTAAATATACTATAATTTCATGCTATATCAACTAGACATTTCCACAGGAACTTTACGTGGGCATCTGATCAACGTCATTGAACCCACAACGGAATTCTGGGTATTCCACTCCCAGACCTGCTTCCCACCCTGTGTGAGATCCACGGCTTACTTAGTTAATAGCTGTGTGACTCAGCCAGCAGTCTGGGTACAACCACAAGGCTTTCTGTTTCTCATCTTTCTAGAAATCAGTGAAAGGTTAAAGGAATCTTATTTTTTCAAATGAGATGCAAACATCGCCAGGATCAAAATGGAGTCTCATGCGGGTAAAGATGGCCCAGGAGGTACAGGTGCTTGTCACCACACCTGAGTTCAACTGCTGGGACCCGCGCAGTGAAAGGAGAAGACAACTGACTTCTGATGTTTGTCCATGGACCTCCACATGCCCGCCCTGTGTTGTACATAGATAAGTAAAACGTTAAAATAAAATGAGGTCTCTTGTCAACCCTACAAAAAAAAAAAAAGCAAAATGAATGAAGCCAGGAGGTTGTGCAGAAAGGGTCCTGTACCCATGACTGCCTAATAATCATCATCACAAAATATTCCGTCATATCTCAATGTTTGCAAGGAGGGCTAGGCAACCTTCAGGAGAAGAATCTCGAAAGAACCTGATGGGTGACTGTCCAATCATGAGCTGATACGGCCCCCTGTTATAATCACTGTGGCCAACAAAAATGGTTTCACAAACTGATGTAACCCTCTTCCATTAAAATCTCCCTTTTTCCTCTGCCTCTTGAACATGCCAGGAGTTTACTGACTGTTTCCCATATAGCTATTCCTTATTTTTTCTCTTCGAAAAATCTCTCATTTTGGTTTTAGTTTGGCTTGACGAAATAGTTGTTATCCTTGGGTTGTGGGATTATTATTATTATTGACTTGTTTTTATGTCTTTATTCATTTCATTATTTTGTATTATTCAACAGCAAATAACAGAGAAAGATTTCCATCACCTTCTCAGCTTCATTGACCTATGGCTGGCTGGCTGGCTGCAGTCTCTCCCTGCCTCTCCCTTCTGCAAACCTCCCCCCAGCTTCAGTGAAAGCACTGTTGTAGTGATTGGCTTAAAATGTACTCAGAGACATCTCTTCCAGGAACTGCTCTGGAGGCTGCCAGGAATGACCAAAAACCATCCTCTGTTCAAAGAGTGCAGACAGTCTTGCTTTTAAATTTTAAATAATAATAAGGTATCAGGTCTGTTTGTAATGTATCTTTTAAGAAATATATTTAGCTCCATGGGCAGAGTTCATGAGAGGCATTGACCCTTGTGTGTGCAGAGAAGTTGAGGACACAGCAGCTGAAGCCACGGTGGCACTCCCCACTGCTGGCAATCTGCCAGTAGATAATGCTCTAGCATGCCATTTCCAACCACTGGCCACAGGAGAGCCATTGCACCCAGAGAAATAAGAGCCAACAGAAATGCCTGGCCTATGAGCTCTCTGCTAGTCAAAATGAAGAGGAAAATTGGAGGGAGGGAAGTATTTTAGGTCACTGGTGATCATTGTAGGTTTGTCCCTAAAGACCTTTATTGAAATGTTTATTTGCAATGAGATCAATAGCAGGCAAAAAAGAATGACTTTGAATCTTACAGTGTCCCTAGGTTTATTCTGTAAACAGAACAAGTGACTCTGAAGAATATATAAAGAGGTTTATTCCGGAGTCACAGTTCCACTGTCTGTGGAATCTAAACAGGATGGCACTGACATCTATGAGGACTCTAACTGTGTGCCAACATGGCAGATGGGCAGAAAGGGAGCCTCTTTTCTGCAGGGAGGGCCAAGCACACAAAGTGACCCTTCAAAACTAACCCAACTGCAGGAATCCCAACTCACTCCTGGATCTCACTGTTCCCCACTGGGCTCTGCCTCTTTCCCAGAGCCCAGCACCTCTGCTCCCTTGCCAGATGATGTCTCTTCGTGAACTCGGTGACAACACACCACAGCAAAGTGACATTTATAGAAGACCCAGAGCTACAGAGATGACCCTGTGGTTAAAAATGTTTGCTGCTCTTCCAGAGGACCAGGGTTCAGTTACCAGGATCTGTGAACAGCAACTCACAAAAGCCTAACTCCAGCTCAAAGGATGCAATGCCCTCTCCTGACCTCCACAGGCACCTAAATGTACAGGTGTGCACACACACACACACACACACAGAGACATAAGTTTTAAAAATAAAATGTTTTAAAAAGCAAGTACAAAGACTTACATTATTTACTAGGAGGAAAGCCTATGCCGCATTAATATTGACTGGTCTGATTAACATAAGCTTCATTCTCATTCTTTACCTTCTCTCCCCAACTCCGTGTGTGCTGGGGCCAAACCCAAGGCCTGGTACATGCCATGAGAGCGCCTCACCCAGTACCTCAGTTTTCAAGACAGATCTCACTATCTAGTCCAGCCCTGCCGGAAGTTTTCTATCCCTCCATTTCTGTAGTGTTGGGATTATGGCAGTATACCCATGCCCAGCTCTAAGATTTTTTGTTTTTAATCAATATT